TGGGTGGACTTTAGAAATACAAATTCCTGGGCCTTGACCAACCTGGCTTACTTGGATTTCTTCTCTGTTCTCCTGGCCAAGTGGCCCCCAGTGTGAAGGGAACCCCCTTGAGTTGAGCAGTGGGGTGGTCTTTAACCTTTCTGTTTAAATCCTCTCAAGTCAGCTTAAAGGACCCTTTAATGGGAGACAATGGGAGACATTGCGTTCTGTCTCCTTTGAGCTCGCCCTTGGACTCCCTGTTCTCCCAATTTTGGCACTTCTCACATACTGCTTGTTATTTTTACTTAACTGTTTCAAATCTTTGTTGCTTATTTCCTCACTTAGCTATCAGAGGATAAAAACAGTGTCCTACCCTTCTCTTCTTGCCCCCCCAAAATGCCAGCTCCGTTAGCACCTAGTAGCTCTTCAATAAATATTTGTTGAATAGCAGAACTTGTAATTCGGAAACCTGAAATCATTTCTTATTTATTTGGGAGGTGTTCTGTGTCCTTTGGAAGCTTTCTGGTCAAATGGAAAGAACTTTAAACAAAGAGGCAAGAGCCCTAGCTTCCAATCTTGGCACTGTCACAAACTCCCAGTGTGACCTGTAGCAAGTTGCCTGCCTTCTCTAGCCCTCAGTCCCTCACTTGAGAGACCAGGACTGATATATAAGTTTCTTTCAGCTCTGGATTTTTTTCACTACTCTGGTTAGCCAGGGGCAGCCTTTTTTGTGTCAATGTCTTTAATGTCCACCATGCCTTATTTTTTTTTTCCTGTAAGAACTATGTCATTGATGGATCACTCCTGGTTTATAAAATGAGAAACTCAACTAAAGAACAAGCAAATGCTTTGGCCAAGCTTCCACCCCTAGTGTGTGTGGGGGTGGGAGGGGGTTGCTCATTCCTCACTGCAGCTCCCTGGCTAGGGCTGCATTCTTCCCTTCCAGAGCTGTTACCAGCCCTTCCCAAGTGTAGGACTGTCAACTCCAGGTGAAGGACTGCCCACCCTCTCTGTGAACAATCCAGGGCAAAGGTATAGACCAGCTGGGTTTCCTCTTGTCCCTCTGCTCACTGCTATCTAGGGCCAGACTGTCCACTGCAATGTTCAGTACGATCTGTTCACATGTTGTTCCCTGAGGAGGAGATGAAGGACATGAGGCGAGTCCTTGCCCCGTAGCTGGCCTGGGGAAAGCTGTGCTACCATATGTAAGGGAAGACCTAGAAGCCAAGTCCCTGGTTCAGAGAAGATGCTCAACAAATTTGTTAAAAGAGGTGAAAATTGCCAACGTTCTAAAACTTTTTAATGTTAAGAAAGGGAAAGCCTTTCTTCAATGAAATCATCCCCGAAGCTCACTAGGTGAAACTGGTGAATGCCTGGTTGCCCCTGTTGAGGGGAGCTGGAGTCAAGCCCTGCCTGCTGTCTCCTCTGGGCCCCAGAGAGGATCCTCAGAGCTCAGGTGGGAAACTTGCTGTGAGTCAGCTGAAAAGAAGGGACAGATCAATTCATGGGCTTTTTCCTGGTTAACCTTAGCTAGGAGGGGTTCCTGGCCAATATATATATATATATATATATATATATATATATATATATATATATATATATATATCACAAAAAATGGAAGTTTGAAGGACCCAGCCCTCTAAAGGGAATATTTGCATCTGAAAAAGAGTCATCCATTTCTCCTCTCTCCTTAGCTTCATTACGATCTAGGAACTTCAGTTATTAAGGGCAAAGGAGGAGAAGTTTTGAGATTTGTAAGTTGGTTCACCAATGAATATCAATGGAATTGTTTAAACGAAGGAAAGAGAAGCATTGTGGTAACGTTTTTCCAGTGTTTAATAGAAACCCATTTGGTGTCATCCTGCAGGCAGTCTTGATTTGAAAATACAATGTAAAACTCTCATGGAGTCTGGTCAGTGAGTGGATGGTGCTGCCTTTTGCACCATTGCTCCCTGCAGTTTGAACATCCCTAACTTCATGGTTAGCCATGGGCACACACAGCTGCCCAGAGGGGCTACCTAATGACAGCATCTCTATGCCAAGTCTGCAGGCCTGCCTGACTGGGCCTTCTCCTTGTCTCTCCACCCATGACAGGCAAGGGAGGGAAGTCAACCCAGGGCATGCTGACTGGTCAAGGTGGTCCAGGGAAAAAAGCACATCCCAAATCTGCATCTGGAAGACAATTTTGGATAACCAATATCTAGTTTTAAAACTTGTCAAAGGGATATAATTCTTGAACTAAGAGGTTTTCATTATTATCCATCTCATGACTCTTTCATATGAATCTCTTTACCTGCCCCACAGACTATCCCACCACACAGGTGCCAGAAGAGGCAGGCAGATAATTAATGCTGGCCCGCTACAGACTGTGTCCTCCACCTGAATTCATATGTTGAAACATAATCCCCAATGTGATGGTATTTGGAGATGCAACCTTTGAGAGGTGATTAGGTCATGAGGGTGGAGCCCTCATGAATGTGATTCGTGCACTTAGAAAAGACCTCACAGAGATCCTTGCCCCTTTCCACCATGTGAAGTTATAGCAAAAAGACAAATGGCTTGAGTCAGGACGATGATTCTTACCAGACAGTGGATCTGTCAGCGCTTTGATCTTGGACTTCCCAGCCTCCAGAAATGGATTTCTCTATAAGAAATATCTTTTTTTGCTTATAAACCACCCAGTCTATGACATTGTGTAATAGCAGCCTGAACAGACTAAGACACACCCCATTGAATAACAGGGGAAACAAAGATAAAAGGAGCTTCCCTTAGACAGCAAGTTAGGAGGAGCCCCAGCTTCTCCCCAACTGCCTGGCACAACCCTCTCCTCTGCCTCCTGGCCAGTCCCCTGACTTCCTTAGCTTCAGAATCTGGCTCAAGCCTGACTTTGAAAAAGAAGACAGCCGTCTAATCACCTGTCCTTCCACCAGTACTGCTGACTGCATCCCCTTGTCCAAGCCACCACCTCCTATAGCATCTGGACTAGTCTTTTGTACTTAATTAGTTGAGTTAGGTATCATGACATCTAGTCTTAGGATAGAAGGCACTCAAGGTTCAAGGGGAACTTGGTCATTAGGACAAAGATCTTGTCAAGCTAAGACCTTGTGGGAGGTCTGGCCCAAAGTCTCCCATCAAGTTATGACAAAGCCAGGGCTGCTAGGCAAGTTTTCCTATGTGTGCCTTCTTGGCTATATCCTGAGTTCCTCGGTTTCTTTTCTTGGTCCCCTCCCACTATGTGCCCGTGCCCCTTCTCCCCTTTGACCCTCTCCCCCTGTCCTGTCTCAGAGGGAGACTCTAAGGATAGAGTCTGCATAGTCCTGTTCTCTGGGACCTTGGGGTTGACTCAAGGGGGACTAAAGAGTGGAAACAGACATAGCCTGGATGGATCTTGTGGTTCTTAGCTCCGCAACATAACCTGTCATTCTTGACATTGGTTCAGAAGCCCAAACGTTGCCTCTCAGTCTTAGATCACTCACCCAAGGTCATTCAGCTCAGAAACGGCCATAGCAGGAGCCCATTGTAGGTCCTCAGGCCAATGGGACAGCACTCTTCCCCAGGCACCGCTCCAGGCATCAACCCCAGGGCCCGTTGACTCCGAGGCCCACTGAGCCAGAGGCGAGCCCAAACCCCCACCTCCCTGCTCGGAGCAGCGGGACCCAGGGGGAAGTGCGTTATTTCTTTAAGTCTCTGAGCCTGTCTGCTTATTTGTGCTTTTGGCTCCCTTCCTAAGTGTGGGGGCGGGAGGGAGACACAGTGTGGGCGGTTCATTCTGGCCTTCTGGAAGTAAGCGGGGCACCCTTGACACAGTAAGCCAAGCACCTAGGCTGTGCGCAGCCCCCCGCCCCCCACCCCCACCGCATTGTGACGCGCCAGTGTCAGAAGTCTCCGTTCTGGAGCAGCAGACCCGGAGGCAGTTGAGCCGGCTGCTGGAGTGCGGCGGGACTCGCAGACTTTCTCCTGAGCCGCGCTCTGGGTTCCTGTCTTCCCCTCGCGGTTCTCCCACGCCCCCAGAATACCCACTGACCCAGCAGGCCTTCTGCTCGCGGCCGCGCCCATCCGGCCGGTGGCCCCTAGGGTCTGGGCGCGGGCCGCCGGCCCCAGCGCAGGTTCCATCGCTGGCGGAGAGAGAGGTGAAGAAGCAGGGCGCGCGGGGGGCCTCCTCCCGGTCCGAGCCGGCGAGCGAATCTTCTCTGCTTCTTTCCGCTCTGCGAGCGCAGCCAAAGTGCTGAGCCCGCCGGGCCCGCTGCTCGGAGTCACTCGCAGCACAGGAGACCAAGCGCCCTCGGGTAACCACACTTACTGCCTTTGGGGGATTCCCTGGGGAAGGTGGCCAGGGACCCCGCAGGAGAGGAGCTGGGGCAGGGATCCAGGTGAAGGGCTGCCCCGGAACACTCCCGAGGTGCTTCCCTTCGCAGACAGCCGCTGTCGCCCCTGGGAGGGCAAACCTCCTAAGTCCCTAAAGACCTGGAGGACTGTGCTTCTCGAGGTACCGGCCTCTGGAGCGGGGAGGGGGCAGATAATGAGCGGCTGGCAGAGGGGACCTGTTTGCTGACGGGTTTGGAGGTGGGATGGAGTAGGGTTTGGAGACGGAGAAGCCCAAGAGTAGACACTGGTGCTTTTTTTTCCCTTCTTCTTCACTTTTCCAAAAAGGAATCACATCGCGAGGGGGAAATAAGAGAGTGTAAACACAAACAACAGCAAAAAGCAGCCAAGAAAAGCGAAGCCAAAAGAAGCAAGCGCAACACTGTTACAAAACTGTCTGGTTTTGTAACAATCGCCCCGCCGCCGGCCAATGAGTGGTGAGGCGGCGCATCACGTGGTGCCGTTTTATATAACACTTTGCTGAGACAAGACAGTTATTAGGCGGCGCGGGGCGGCCGGCATGGAGCTCGCGGAGGCGCGGCAGGGACCGGCGCGCGGCAGAGCGGCGGCAGTGGCAGCCCCGATTCCCTCCAGCCGCCGCTCCCAGCTCCGCGTCCCCGGCCCCTAGACGCCTCTTTTCCACGGGTGTCCCTCTCCCTATGGATTCATTTCAGACTGGACAGATGCTGAGCTTGCCCGCCGAGCTCGGCAGCAACAACTTAGAGCTGGCGGAGCCGGCGGCATCAGCGGCCCACGGAAATACGGGCCCCCACCCGGAGGCGGCTGCAGAAGGCCCCGCACCTCTACCGACTCGGCCCCCGGAGCAGGAGCAGCCTCCGAAGGCCTCGACGCCGGAGTGCAAAGTCCTGCTCACGCAGGCCGACGCCCTGGCGTCTGGGGGGCGCCTCCGGGAAGCCCTCGAGGTGTACCGACAGCTCTCCGAGCGGCAGCAGTTGGTGGCCGAGCAGCTGGAGCAGCTGGTGCGCTGCCTGGCCGAGAACGTCCCGCAAGCCGAGGAGCCGGCGCCGGAGCCCCCAGACGGGAGCCGCGCTGGGAGCTGTGCGCTGGCCGCGGAAGAAGCAGGGGCGGTGACAGCCGCCGAGGCCACCGAGGTGTGGGACGGCTTCAAGTGCCGGAAGTGCCATGGATTTCTCTCAGACCCCGTGTCCTTGTCCTGTGGCCACACCTTTTGTAAACTGTGCCTGGAACGCGGGCGGGCAGCCGATCGGCGCTGTGCGCTCTGCGGCGTCAAACTCTCGGCGTTGATGGTGACCACCGGACGGGCGCGCGGGACCCGGCGGGCTGGGCAGCAGGCGCCGCCGCCGCTGCGGGTCAACGTGGTGCTCAGCGGCCTCCTTGGCAAGTTGTTCCCGGGCCCGGCACGGGCGTCGCAACTCCGGCACGAGGGCAACCGGCTGTACCGCGAGCGCCAGGTGGAGGCGGCCCTGCTGAAGTACAACGAGGCAGTTAGGCTGGGTGAGCCCACCGTACCGCCGGGGCCGGGCCGGGCGGGGGCTGGAGCCTGGAGGGGAGCTGGGGGTGACTCCGGCGGAGGAGGGTGCGCGGACCGTGGGATGGACCACGAGCGGAGTGGGGGCGGGGGACTCTGGAGTTCCCTGTCCGACTTTTTCTCTGTGTTTGCCCTTTTTTCTGCGTCTCTGTAAGTCTCCCTGCTCTTTGTCTTATGTCTCCTGTTAGCTCGTGTGTTCCTGCGTGTCTCAGTCCCTGCTTCTCTTTGTGTCACTATTTCCTCTGTCTTTTCCTTTCCCTCCGCATCTTTGTCACTCTGGCTCTTGCTCGGTGTCACCGTCTCTGTTTCTCGGGCTCGCCTTCTCCTTCTCCTTCCGTGTGCCCCAGCCCCTCTTCCACCTGCCCACACCTTGCAAACCGGGAGGTGAACTTCGCACCCTTCCCACTCGCGCGCCGGGGCCCCTGCGCTCCAGACCGCCGGGGCTGTTCGGTCGGCGCCTGCGTCTGCCGCTCCCTCCCGATCCGGGGCCGCCGTGCCGGCCGGGAGTTGTCCCTTCCGGGGCCGCGGCTCCCGGTGGGGTGGGTCCGGCATGGAATTAGGTCAGGAGAGCACTGGTTGCATAAGGGCCGCGAGCGGCCCGGGCCGGGCGGCCCCTCCTCCGCGCGGGCGGGCGGGATTGTGTAACGGCTGAGGTAACCGAAGTGGGCCACGCTCGCTTCGGAAACCATCCCGCGAGCGTGTGCGGGCGGCGGGCGGGGGGGCAGGAGCTCTCGCGCCCCGCTGCCCTGTGACTCATTGTCACCGCTTCCTATCACACGATCCTCGGCTGAAATAGATGCCCTCCCAGTTCCCCCTCCCGTGCCGCCTGCCCGCAGTCTGCGCCCTCGCTTCGAACCGTAGCCCTCCAGCCCAGAGGGCGACGGGCCGGGCGACGGCTCGGGGATCCCTGAGGACGCTGGGCTGGCTGCCAAGGGGGCCGCCTCTGCCCAGCTTTTCCGTGCCGCTTGAGGACGGATGGGTGGGCTCTGCGGCCTCAAGGGCGACGTGGGCAGCCCCGCGCCTCTGACCGCACTAGGGCGCCTGAGTTCCCTCGGGGGAACGACTCCCCCCCAACCCCCCACGTCTGGACCCAGGAAGTGGCCGCCCAGCGACGAGCGACGGGTATTGCCCAGCTCGGGCCGGCTGCCAGGAGCTCAGCGGTGGGGCGCGGTGTCTGGCAAGGCGTGCCAGGGAGAAGGCGACAGGGCTGGGCAGACAGGGTTCTGGGATCCGAGGGTGCCCTGAGCCCTGCTTGGACGGTGGAGGAGGGGGTGGGCTGCAGTCTCCACGTGTTGACTCTTCACCCAAGCTTGCAACAGGTAATGGGGGGCGGGAATGAAGGTGGACTGGGGATCACTGGCAACCCCCAACCCCAGACCCATGTGCCCAAGCAGAGCGCCTTGTCAGCTGCCACCAGGCTGGCTTGTGCTGCAGGAAATGAACAGAGGAGGCTGTAAACTCTTAACTGATGTCTTAAGAGCAAGTAATGGGCACCCACGCAAACCCTCTGCATACCCCCTCGGGGAAAACAACAACAAAGCCTGTTCCCACAGCAGCAGCTGGAGCCCAGTCTCTAGGGAAAAGCAGGGCAGTATGAAGGAGATAGGTAGAGCCTGCTGAAGCCCGGATCTCAAAGGAAGGTTCCATTCCTGATCGAACCCAGGTCTCCCGCATTGCGGGCGGATTCTTTACCAGCTGAGCCACACGGGAAGCCCCAGCTGTCCCTTAAGAGCCAGGAAAGCCCTTTCCTTCCCTCTTCCTCCTCTTTCTTGGTTACTGTCATCACTTTTCCCTGGGGGTTCATCTTTGGACCACCAGATGATCCAGGGTGAAAATGTGAAGACCTCTTCACCCTTCAAAGAGGAAAGGGGTCTCCCCAACAAGGAGTACCTTTGTGCTAGAAAGTGGCCAGTCTCTCTTTCTATTATTCAAAGTGCTATACTGTCTTTCAGAAAAAAAGGAACCTGTCTCCCACCCCAGATTCAAAGTCTGTCAAGGTAGCAATGACTCTGACCAGCTAGCTAGGCTTTGAGCAGATGCCTTCACCTCTCAAACTTGCTTTTCCTTGAAGATTGGGTTGCTTGAACCAGATGATCTCTAAAGGCCTTTCCAGCCCTGGGTCTACCGATTTAGAGTATTGATGAGAGCCAACCTCACTTTATTCACAGAAGCCTTGTTCCAGCCCATCATATCTGCCCATCTGTAATGAGATGATGGAGCCTTGCAAATACATTTCTGTTTTCTTAAGAGAAACTTCATATATGTGTTGGTTTGTAGACAAAGATGTTGCTGGTAAGACTAACTTGGACTTGTCTTCCTGGTGGCAAGAATGGGGATCACATCCAGCCACCGCCTTCTCCCTCTTCCCTGGCCTGTTTCCTTGTGGGCAATACCTCACTTCGAAGCTAGGCTGCCAGTTCCTAGCCACAGCCATGAAGCAGGGTGCCAGAATTTGCTCTGTGTCAGAGTGGCTAATAATGCACCACTGACCCCACAGGCCCTTTAAGGAACTGCTTGAGAGAGGTGGGGAAAATGACTTCTTTACAGTTGGGAAAGCTCAGACCCAGAGTGGCTGGGGGTGTGGTAGGCAAGGCAATACTAGGGCTGGAGATTAAGCTTACACTTTTGGGTCTCTACTAGAGAGGTCCTAGATAACTTGCCATTTTGCTCAAGGTTTTTTCCTCTCATTTTGGCAGCTCCAAATGACCACTTGCTTTACAGCAACCGGTCTCAAATTTATTTCACCTTGGAGTCTCATGAGGATGCATTGCATGATGCCGAAATAGCATGTAAGCTCCGCCCTATGGGGTTTAAGGTGAGTGTGGGATGGGAAGGATGGGAAGGAATTGTACTGAGGACAGGAATTGGCAGGGAGGACTGCCACGGGGGGGGGGTGGGGAGCGGTGGGTAGGGGCACTAGAGCTCACTCAGAGCAGGGGAAAGGCTCTTCATAGGAGCTGGTGGGGGGAGTCCCTTGACAAAGGGTGACTTAGGGGTCTGCAAGAGAGCTGAGTTCTGTCCCAATTTGATCTTAGACTGATGACTTGCAAAGCAGCCTGGACTCTGTGATTCTTTAGAACTTGAACTTGGGAGCCAGACTGCCTGAGTTTCTGTCATAGCCCTGCTACTTTTACTAGCTGTGTGGCCTTGGCCAAATTACTTAACCTCTCTGTGCCTCATCTCCTCACCTATAAAATTCAGATATTCAAAGCATCTACATAACAGGGGGAGACTACCTGTTGGGAGGAATACATGAGCTAATGCAGGCAGATACTTAGAACAATGCCTGGCATATAGCATTGTATGTATTTGCCAACATCATCATCATCACCATTATTTTCCCAGGACACTAGAGAGGAGGGGAAGAGAAACACTGCTGTTTGGTTCTGCCATCTTAAGTCCTTAATGTAGTCAGTCAGCCTGCTGCTTTCCCTAAACATGTAGGGTGTGGGGTGGGAGTGGGGAGGGGAGAAAGACAGGTTCAGCCTCTCTCAAGATGCCAGGATGCACAATGTCACTTCCTGCATCTCTTCCGGCCTCCCTCAGGACTAGCCTTCAGTCACATGTCAATAGTTTGTTTAGAAGATTAGATTTGAGCCTGGACCTGCAAGCTGAGTGACCATGGGGAAGTCGCTTCACTCACAGAACCCTAGGTATCCTTGTTTGCAAAACATAGATCTTGCTCTCTGCCCTAATCACCTTGCGGGGGGCAGGGGGGCAGTTCTGGTTCCAGGTCAGCTTGACCAAGAGTCTGTTCTGTGAACCATAACGTTGGGTCTTGGTGTAGTGCTCTCTCTATGCAGCCCCAGGATGCTGTCCTCTGAAACCCACTTCATCCAAGGCCAAGTCCATAATCCCTTATCTGAATCCCATAGGGCTGGATATGTTCAGAATCCAGAATGTTTCCAATTTCACTAAGACCAGGTATCAGCTCTTGACAGTGCCCCATAGTCAAACACAATAATATTTCTGCAGCATATTACATGAAAATTCACACTAAGTGGGAAGAAGACTGTAACACATATCGTTTTAGATCAAGATTTGCCACCGAATGACTTTTGATGTCAAGCTTATGAAAATATTGGATTATCAGCCTTTTTTTTGGATTTGGGGAACTTCAGATAAAACACTGGGGAGCTGCATACTGGGTCATTAATGTCAGAGTGAACCTCATACTCTTTCATGAGAAGATTTTCATGAGTGATGATAGATTAGTGTATCCTCTTTCCCAAGGAACACATTTACGGTTTATTCAGACCCACCAATGTCTTAACCCAAAGGAACTTCACTGGGAGCATTTCAGGCCTTGTAGCAGTGCAGACCAGTGAGCTGCCTGGGGGTGAGAGGACGACTCTTGTAACTGTTTCTGCTCCCATTCTAAACCATATCGAGGCAGGGGCCTCGATAGTGCAGTGGGAAACAGGGCTAAGTAAGCAGTGGACCATTTTGGATAAAATGGGAAAAGTGACTTCCCCAGTGAAGGAAGAGTTGGTGAAGATATTAAACAGAAGTTCATTTTCCCTAAGTGCTGGGTTAAGCAGAGAGGCAGTGATGATAGAACTTTGTGGACTTGGGAATTGAAAGAAGACTGGAACTGATGCTTTTGATTCAAAGCCACCTCACACCCCAGTTTATGGATTTCCCACCATTTCTGTATGAAACGCTCCTATGAGAGGTGTTCACTTTGTGCATCCCTATTCCAGCCACCCAGCCAGGGCTGGAACTCTCTTGCAAGTGCGATAACTGAGCTGGCTGCCCTGAGCAGGTGGAATATATGGGTTGCTACTTGATATGATTGGTCAGATCCCCAAAACTGCTAGTCTCCCAGCACTTAACACCCTCTAGCCACCTTGAAATATCAGGCAGGCCTTTCTCCAGAGGGCCCCTGGCAAGCACTGGGAGCATCCAACTCCAGAAGGAGGGGTAGGGTGCAATTCGGGGAGAGGCCCCCAAGAGGCTTGGAGCACGGGCCACTGCTCAAGAAGGCAGATTCTGGCTGGCTCCTGTAAGCCAGGCCCAAGCCAGGAGGCACCAGGGCCCACAGAGGCATGTCCAAAGGGGAGGTCCATGTATTAGAGTGCCCAGCAGCCGCAACCTGGATTGTTGCCTTCCCTAAGTTAGACTCGGGGTCAGTGGGTAGGCAAGGGCCTGGGGAGCAGGCCACTGAGGGGCAGCCTCTAAGCCAAGCTGCCAGGCATGGAGAGAAGACAGCCCTCTTCTCACTTCTCTTCTTTCTCCTCCATCTTCCCCAGGATGCTCCTCTCCTACTCCTTAGGGTTTCTCCCCCAGGGCAGTTGGACTTGGACCCTGAGAAACCCTAAAACTTCTTATATGATTTCAAGATGTGGTGAGGGAGCAGACATGAGCTGAGTCCACTGGAGCCAAAGCGTTTGTGCAGCCCCTGGTTAGCATTCGGAAGGACTTGGCGGGGAAGCTCCCAGTGCTAGTTCCAGCTTTGCTGCTAGCTGCCTTCAAGGTCTTAGAGAGGTCACATGCCTTGGCTCACTTGGGCCTCTTCTGATAAGTGATCACTGAGTGTGGGTGGTCACTCAGCCAGTAACATGGATTAGGTCTCTGCTTGACAGACTGGTTAACAGGAAGGCCCATCCAGGCAGGTCCTGAAAGCTGGTTAGTGTGACCTCAAATGGGAGTTCTTGCTACATTTGATGCCTCCTCCAATACAATGGTGGGGCAGGGGGTGGGCGGTGATGGTAGTATGGCACAGTGGTTGTGAATCTGGTCTTCTGTATCAATCATTCCCAGGCTCTCGATCTGATTCCACAATATTCCAGCCAGATTATTTCAGGCGAGTCACTTCTCTGGGTCTCAGTTTTATTTTCTTGAAAATGGGCTTCATAACAGTTGCCTACACCAGCAGTCCCCAACCTATTTGGCATCAGGGACTGGTTTCATGGAAGACAAATTTTCCACCAATGTTGGGGGGGTGTGGGGGGAGATGGTTTGGGGATGATTCAAGTGCACTGCATTTATTATGCTGCCACTGATCTGACAGGAGGAGGAGCTCAGGCAGAAATGCAAGTGATGGGGAGTGGCTGTAAATATGGATGAAGCTTTGCTTGCTTGCCTGCCGCTCACCTCCTGATATGTGGCCCAGGTCCTAACAGGTCACAGACTGGTACCGGTACAGTGGCCTAGGGGTTGGAGAGCCCTGGCTTACACAATAAGGTTGTGGATAAGATAGTCCTTTTAAAGCCCTCACATGACAGTGAACACCCAGGAAGTAATTTAGCTGATGTTATGAATGATAGCAATGTCAAGAGGTAGAGAAGAATGGGACTGAATGCTCATGTTTTCTTTCAGGCACACTTCAGAAAAGCGCAAGCCTTAGCCACCCTTGGCAAGGTGGAGGAGGCGCTAAGAGAGTTTCTATATTGTGTGTCCCTTGATGGAAGGAACAAAAGAGCAAGAGCTGAAGCCCAAAGGGTGAGTTGAGATGACGTCAGGTCCAGCTGCCCAATGGGCTTCCAGCCCTCTGTCCTCTCCAGGGCAGGGAGTGAGGGAACTGCCTTCCCTAGGGTTGGGGGTCCAGAGTGGATGGTTTCCTGGGTTGAAGGGACAGGAGCAAGACACAGGTGCCAGTTGATGACCCAGAAACACCATCCTTTTGGCATGTACAATCAGATTGAGCAGTTCCTACATTTCTGTAGGAGCCTGTGAGGAATGTGCTTGTTTCTTTGACTCAGGGTCTGGGTGGTCAGTAAGAATACAAACAAAAAAATAAAACCAAATAAGTTAACATGGAGATAGAGGCCCACGGAGGAGACTCTGGCTGTTGGCCAGAGATCCTGGGTATGAGGTGGTTTTAGAACTTTCCTTGGGCTGAGTTACTGCTTCACCAGCCACACAGGGTGGCCAGCTCCTCACAAAGGGGTGTTGGGTCCCATCTGCCCTGCCATATGCAGAACTCCAACCTTCAGCTTCTTTGCTAGAAATAAAACACATATGTGATATAAGTTGGGGACCATTACAGTATAATCCAGTCATCTCAACTCTTGAGTTGCTGGAGAATGTTGTTGTTGTTTTTTTTTTTAACTGCATGAAATACTGGGCACATTAGTGAATGCTCAGGCATCCTCAATTCATAGACTTTATTGCTTATTGTTCTGCAGTGTGCTCTCTCAGTGTCTGGCTCGTTGGCCTGGAAATGGGATGCTGACAGTCAGCGGGGACTTCTGCTATGCTTGTGCCCCACCCCCTGTTCACCACTGCACCCCAGGTGCCTCTGTCCCAGGGTGCTTTGGCAGAGCAGTGGATGAAGAAAGGGAGCAAGAGACAGGACTGGTTTCTGAAGGCTGCCGAAAGGAATCTTCAGCAAAATCATTGAACTAGGGGCAGCTGAGCACTGGAGCTTCTGGGAAGTTACTTTGGGCTGGTTAGTAGGAGCACTGGTGGAAGAGAATTGCTCCAAGCTGTGGACCCTTCCCCAAATCTTAACTGTAGTCCACAGTGTGAGTAATAATAGTAATAATGGCTAACATTTATTGAGCATTTCTTGTGCACTGGGCACTATTCTGTGGACTTTATGGGGAAGCTATAATTAAATCTCCACAATGTCCCTATGAGAGTAGGTATCATTTATCCCTATGTTACAGATGAAACAGATGAGGAAGCTGAGGCTTGGTGCCTTTCTTGAGGTCATGAATCTAATGATCGGTGGAAGAGCAACCAAACCTGACTCCTCCTGCTTCCAGAGTCTGCCTTGTGAGCTACTCCACTATCCTCCTGACCTGGGAGGCCGAGTCAGGAGTCTCAGCACCCACTGCTGAGACTGGGGGAGAGGAGCAGTGGGATTATCCAGTTCTGGGATGGATGGACAAAGGTGGTTAGAAGAAGAGAGTGTGCAAAGGCCAACAGAGGCAGGTGTGGAGCCGGGAGAGAGTGATTTCTTTACTCTCATTTGTCCATTTCCCAGTTGGCCTGAGAGGCTCTTGGTGTCATTTGGGTTGATCCTCTTTCCCACCCGCTTTATAGACCACCTAGTATCATTTCCCAGGTGGCTGAGTGGTAAAGAATCTGCCAGGAAATGCAGGTTCGATCCCTGGGTTGGGAAGATCCCCTGGAGGAGAAAATGACAACCCACTCCAGTATTCTTGCTTGGGGAATCCTATGGACAGAGGAGCCTGACAGGCTACAGCCCATGGGATTGAGAAGAGTTGGACACGACTGAAAAGACTTAGCATGTAAGCATGCATGCAGTGTCATTTCCACAGCTGCGTTAATGGGATGGGGCAAGAACTGAGCTAAGCTCTGGAGACCCAAAGAGGCATAAGCCACAGTCTCAGTCCTCCAGGACCTTACACTCTTGCACTGGTTCTATAATGTAATATAAATGCCAGATAATACGATCGAACATTTGCCTGTGATGAGTGTTCCAGAGTTCTGAAGCTAGGGTGAGAATTTAGAGGCAAATTTCAATGGAGTGAGGTGAGGACATGGCACTTAGTTAAGAACGCCAAGGACCTTCTGTGCTTATTTGCTGGATTGTTCCCCTTTCCAGGGATAAAGATGTGACAGAGATGGTCCAGGTTCACTTGGCATGAATTACCTGCCTTTGTCACTTACAGGCCTGGGTTTCTTTTTAACGTTTGTCTTTACCTCAGATTCTTTTTGGACTTCTTGACCCACTTGGGCCTTTTCAAAGCTGACGCTGAAGTGAAATTGACTTCCATTGGTATGTGGAATGCTCATTTTCACTGAGAGTTGACCCCAACTTTTGTTTTCCAAAGCCACTGGGAAGGCCTTCAATGAGGTCTTAGGTAGCAGAGGAGGAAGCTCAGTGCTGCTGTTCCTTTGTCTAGTTTCCTTTGAGCTTCCCTCTCTGCTTCTCTTCCCCTCCCACCACACTCTGCCCTCGTATCCTTGTACCTAGGGGTGCCCTATGGCTTGCTACTGCTCTCTGGGGAGAATTCCAGGGGGAGTGCTTCAGAGGTGTTTCCCGGTGGGTCACTCAGAGGCCCCTGAGAGCCAAGTTTGGCTCCAGCAAAGGAGGAGTCTCTGAAAGCTGGCATTTACAGCCCTGGTCAGTGTGAAAACCTCCTGTCTCATTCCTGTACCAACTTAGAACTGGAAGGAAACAGAGGCATCTGTCATCTGGGGACTTTGGGCCTCTCTCTGGTCCCTAGGATGGCTAATGTCTTAACTCAGTTCCATCCAGTGTGATGAGTATTTATTGGACATCAGTCGTGTACCCTCCAGAAACTGAACATCTGGTTAGAGAGCAAGGCTTACATTTGCGATGCAATTTGAGGCTAACACAAGACTGGGGAGGGTAAGGCACTATCTTCTGGTGCAGTTGAGAACACGGAAGGATGGGAGAGACTAGGGAGACTGGAGGAAGAGGAGAAGGGAGTCCTGGAGCTGAGCCTTGAAGGATGAGCAGGGCTTGGTCACGTGGAAAGTGCTGGCATCAGAAGAAACATCATGAAGGAACTGCTGGGGCCCAGTAAGGAAAGAAATCAAACTGGAGAGAGTTTGATCCCAGTTTCGGTCAGATTCTCCTGATCAGTTAATACCCTGCTACCTAGAGGAAGGGGTGGGGCACCCTTTAGTTGGTCTCAGCAGAAAACATGTGAATATGTTTTAGAAGCAAGTGACCTGCCTTCCTGGGTTATATGTTACATACAAAAATACCTATGTATACAGATAATTGGCACTTTCACAGGAGAGAACTAAAGCAAGGATGCGGGCGGTTGATGGGGCAGCCTCCACCAGATCAAGCATCTTTGACTCCCAGTCAAAGATCTGGATCTTGTATCTGCCCCACCCCCATCCCCAGCTTATCCAGTTGCAAAGGAGGCCAACCATAGACTAGAACCAGCCTGCCACCCCCTATCCCCACCCTAATCATTGAAGTGACTTGACATTCTCTGGGAAGTGAAGGCTAGAAAGTAGGAAGAGAGGCTGGGAGAAGAGGGAGGAAGACTTGGTTCTGCTTTTGCTAACACATCGCTGCTGAAGGGATTCATGATCCAGGGCTGATGGTCAGGGAGGAGAGGCAAAACAGGCAGACAGGGAGGGAAGAAATACAGAGGAACCTTGATGACATTTGTTGCCTTCTACCCACGGGGTCGTCTCGGACACGACTCCAGGTCCCCCAGCTGATGTTGGTCTCCTGCCTTCTCCTCGGCCTCTTTCCTCCTAGACAGGTTTTGAAATCCCCCCGCAGATCTTTCTGTGGAAGGGTAGCAGCGGAGTGGTGGTAACTGGCTAGGGAGACAAAGGCAGATCTGTAGTGCCTTTTCAAAATCCAGATTCCTGGCCACACTTCAGACCCAGGGGAGCCAGGCATGGGAACTTGGAACCTGGAATTCTCATAAGCTTCCCAGGTGATTCTGACGAGCTGAAGGGAGGATCCTTGCTCCACTGTGTTGGGGTCTTTGGTCCAAGGCTTCCTCCCTGGGGTTTGGCCCCACAAGCCGTACCCTTTGTCCTTTCCTGCCCTCCCACCCCTGCCCTTCACCCCAGCACCTGTAGAAACTTAAGTAGTGAAGTCTTCTGTTTTATGTCCCAGCTTCTCCTTAGTTTCTTTACACCATCATTCCCGGGGGCCTCTCAGGAACATTCTCCCGATATACTGAAGCTGTTGGCACCTCACCCTAGATTAAAGGAACACGTAGAATCATTGGCTACTGAAGGCACCAGCCATAATCTACCAAAGTTGTCACAGGTAAAACTCCACTCACCCAGCTCGCTCCTGACGCTTCATTTGACTGTTTTGTGGGCAGACGTGGAGAGTGAGCCCTCACCTTTCTACTTTGTTTGGTTTCCGAGAAAGAAGAAATGGGAGTTGCTAGTGGCTGTCTTCTTTGCTGAAAGGCTATTTAAAGATAAAACTGAATTTCAGGCAGGGGCCCAGGTTGATGATTTATTATGTTCAATTTTCAGTTCTTGATCAGGTCCTGTTGAGAGAGGTGACAGAACTAGAAAGGCCCACTTCCCCAGGAGCCATTCAGTTGGGGTGAGCTTAGGGGCAGAGCCTGGGAAGAGGACCTGACAGTCCCTCCTTTCCTGCTTTTTGTTTGTTCAAGCTGCTGGTCTTTGAGCACCAGCTGAGTTCCTTGTGCAAAGACATCTCCATTTGGTCCCCAGGTGGAGGTCATTTCATATTCCTGCACCGTGTCTTACACATAAGTAGACTTCCAGCACATAGGTAGAGCTGGGGAGAGGGAAGCAACTAAGGAAGTGTTAACTTCCTGGGATTTGAGTCTTCGAAAACTATGGTCTCCAGGCCCCAACTTTCCAAGAAGAGGGCAAGTGGGCAGAAGCTGGGGCTCAGAAGCACAGATGTATAGGCAGAGGTGAGCTCTGAAGATCTAGGCAGCTCAAAGCATCTGCCTGCCTGCTATCCCTGCCCTGTGTTCCTCCCCTGTGTGTGAGCCCTAGGGTATCCATGGCTTCTTGGTTCTCTGACAGGTGAAAATCTTATATTTCCCTGACTTCTTCCCCTGCTCTGGAGAATGAACAAAATGCAGGTGTCCCTGACTCAAAAAAGGCTGGAGGGGTGATGGGCAGAACTTAGAGTAGATCCTGAAATCAAAGCAGTACTATGGGCTAAGTCGCTTCAGTCGTGTCCAACTCTTTGCGACCCTATGGACTGTAGCCAGCCAGTCTTCTCTGTCAGTGGAATTCTCTAGGCAAGAATACTGGAGTGGGTTGCCATGCCCTCCTCCTGGGCATCTTCCAGACCCAGGGATTGAACCCGCATCTCTTACGTCTCCTGCATTGGCAGGCGGGTTCTTTACCACTAGCACCATCTGCATTTCAATACTTCTTTGAGATCATTATTACAGAATTGAGAACCATAATACTGAACCCAAGTGCCTGGAGTGACTTCTAATTGCAGCCCAATCAGAAATGAAGAAAAAAAGCACCCCTGTCTTTCTTGTATGAGGAAGCTGAGGAGTAAGGACTGGGTTTCTACCCAAACTTTGCCTTGCAAAGCACTGTACTGTGTAGGCTCTGCCGAGGCCTCGTGGAAAGGTGAGGATGCAGCAGTGCCATAGTGCTGATAAAACCCTGAACTCCCTGGGTTAGAGACTCAGAAAAGCCTTTTCCTCCTCACCTCATCATTTTCTCCCAGCTGTGCGCTCCCCATTTTTCATCTATCTACCAGGTTTTTTTTTTTTTTTTTTTTGGTTGGAGTTGGAGGGAAGACAACAACCTGAGCATTTTGACCTGTGCACTTTGAATGTAGAGTAGAGAGGGATTTTCCAGCTAAACCTGCATAAACACTTGGTCATTGGATTTTTTTTTTCTAGATCCTTCTCCTGGACAAAAATTCTTGAAAAGGCTAGAGATGTTATTGATCATTTTGCCAGATGATCGTGTCTCTTTTTCAGACTCTTTGCCCAAAATCTAGTGAAAGGATTCATTTGTTCCTAGTTCCTTTGACCAGTATAGCATAGCTCTGGAGTGTGAGGGCACTCGGCAGGCCTGTGCACTTGCACAAGAACCTTCCCGAAAGTTGTTTGGAAGCTGGATGTGGGACTGGAGGATGGCTGGGAATGGCAGTGAGGGTGAGAGCAAGGGCCGAGTGGCAGGATCTACCCTCACTGCACTGCGTGCATTGGTGTCCCTCAGGTGGTGACGGGGGACTGACTGGAGAGGAGCGGAGACCGGTGATGCACTTGGCACCTCGCCTTCACTGCTGCCCAAGGACTGTCTCCCTGTACACCTTAGTCTGCCCCAGCTGGGCCTTCTGTGCCCTATGACTGCCGCCCAGTTAAGCTACCTGTCCTCTAGATGGTCAGGACCGGACAGTATTTTCTCCTCATCCCTTCTGGAGACAATTATCAGAGCATGATGTTGGGCCGCAGTAGATTCTGATGTTTGGCTCTTTCTTCCTCCAGGAAATGCCCGAGCGCCCACATTGTTCCAGTCAGGAGGCAGCAGCAGCCAGGGGCCAGGGGGGCAGCCTGATGAACCTGGTCACAGTGACAGGGGATGGGCCGCAGGACCACACGGAAGACTCGGTTGGAGCAGAGGAGGAGAAGGGGGTCGCTGCCTCTTCCCAAGCTGCCTCCAGTAGGACTGGCAAATGCCAGGAGAAGAAAAGGAAGCACTGCCAAATTGAACCCCAAGACCCAGAGAGGCCTAAGAAAGCGTCTAAGCCAGGTGCAGACTCTACCCAGGGAGGTGGGGGCTTGGAGGGGAGCCCGGGCTCAGCAGTGTGTGGAGGCTCCTGCCCTCCACATGATGGCTTCTCTGCTCTGCCCCTTCTAGGGTGGCTGTGGGGTTTCTGTGAGAGCAAGCAGTTCCTAGCATCCTGCCGGTGCCCCATATGAATTATAAGGGAAAGCCAGGGCTTATGGGCAAGCATGGCGTCAAGTAACGACATTTCACGCCCTTGATGGTGTCATTTCCTTCCAGGCCAGCCTCTCTGCACCCCCTTCCCCATTCCGGGGAGGCCGGACCCGGGCAGCTCCATCAGGCCTCATCCTGCTCACTCCCAGTTGTGTCCCCATAGGTAGGCATCTGAGAAGCAGCAGCTGCAGCTTGGTATCTTTCCAAAAGTGGCTGCCAGTGCCAAGATTCAGTGTCAGCTATGAAGGCCTGGCTCAGTCCGTGGAGTCACTGCAGCTGTTTGTCAAGAGTGAGGTGCCTGTTTCATTTAAATGAAGCCCCCCAGGGCTCCCAGACAATTCCTGACCTACACGTCTCTTTCTTTGGGGCTGCTGGAACACTCCACGTGCCTGTATCAGGGTACCCCACTCTCAGTGACTCACTTGGTCACTAAATCAATTCTTGGGGAGGTGATGAGAGTAGCCGACTGAAAAACATAATTGGGTTCTTTGGCCTTAGAACTGCTGTCTTGTGACACCAAGGTTGGTTCCCCTCTGACTTCTGCTCTCTACATCACAGATCCTTCCACTGACCCCAGGGCCAGGCCTGCGCTCAGTGTCCCGCTGGCTTCTTTTGACGCCTCTGACCTTGAATGCTCCCTCTGTATGAGGTATGTGAGGTGTCCTATCGCTTACTGCCCGAGAGGTCTTCCCCTCTGGTGTCTGCACCTCTCTGCTAGTGACCTATGGCTTGGTTGGTTAGCACAGAAAAGCGTGGTTCTAACAAAATGGAAGTCATGTTGACTGTCACATGGGCGAGCTTGTGTCCCTTGTTTACAGATCACATGCCCCACACTCCTGCCTTGGAAATACCTAGAAAGCAGGAAGGAAACTGTCTACTCAGAGGTCAAACTGACAGTCCCCAGGCTGGATGTCTTTTGTTTGGCCCTCATGGGATTTGGGGGATTGTTGTTAAGATGAATGTTTAGAGACAGGACACTCACAGGGCCAGGCCAGTTGGTCATGGCCCGCCTCACTCTCACATTTACATCACTTTCCTGGCTTCTCTTTATGTTTGGGACCCTGGAACTAATATCTGCTGGCTACTAGATCAAGATCTCAAAGCGTGAGTGCCAGTGTCAGCCTCACAGGCCTATTCTCTGGAAGCCAAGGAGAGGGCTGGACTCATTTTTGGTCTGTACCTGCCTGTGCAGTAGTCAGTAGTGGGCATGTACGACTTGGCTAGGAGTCTCTCCTCCACCACTGCCACATTCTCTCTACTTTCTCAGATCTCTGGAGACACATGCCTCCCCCCACCCCGCAACATAAACAAATAGGAAACTGCTACAGTCCTGGTCTGCAAAAAGAAATGACTTTCACTTGTTTCATTTCACAACCGCGGCTTTGTGCCTAAGAGGAGGTCTCCTAAAACAGATGGCCCGGGTTTCCACCCAGGCTGTGCCACTTACTGGCTGTTTGACCTGGAGAAAGTCACTTTCTCCACCACTGTTTTTTCATCCTCATCAGTAAAACGGAGGACAGTGGTACCTGTTCTATGGTGTTGTTATGATTAATTGAGAAAATCTATTTGAGACACTTAGAATAGTGCCTGACATAAGTACTCAATAAATGTTAACTTTTTTCCCTAGACCAGAGGTTCTTTAGCTTTAGGTCCATTGACCCCTGAGGGGGCTCTGTGTATGGATTCTAGTAGATCTATGAATTCCCTGATGTTATATGTAAAAGTATGTGTGTGTGTATGAGAGAGAGAGAGAGAGAGAGAGATTTCCAGGACAAGGTCCACAGCTGTCAGTAGATTCTCAAATGTGCCTTCCCCTTGGCAAAAGAGCTTTAAAAGGAGGCTGAGATATTTGCACAAAATTTGTTAAGATGGCTGAACCAAGACAAGAGATGTCAAGAAAAATCTTTTGGTCCATCACACAGATGGATGCAGCCAACGGAGGCCCCTCAGATGTCTTCTTGCCCTTTACGAGTACATATGCCTTCCATGTCAATCCCAGGCGTTTGTCACTGCTCAAAGTGACTTTTCTTGTCCTCTGAATAAAAGTGAGTGAGGCAGCTGTTACCTGAACAACGTACTTTCTCTCTCTCAAAAAAAAAAAAAAAAAAGAATTGTCAGATTTGCCTGTAAGCTCAGACAGACTTGATAAGGAATGTAGCAGCACTTGAAGCAAGCCCTGCATATACTGTCAGAGTTCTAGGTGGAGTGGGTGAGGGTGGGACTGCCTGTATAACCCGGTCCCTTGTGCCCCCTCCCCCTCACAACGATGTAGCAGGTGGGTCAAGCCAGAGCCAAAGTGTGAGACAGACAAGCTCTGCTTTCCAAGCTGAGACATGGGCCCCCACAGGTAACGCCATCATGGTGCTCAGCCAGTGATGAGAGCCAGGGTCTTTCAGATGTCAGACTTTGATAGACTTGATTCAGCTTATCCTCCTGGACACACCTCCCGACATCCCGGGGATGCAAAATCAAACACAAAGACTCATCCTGTTTGTGTTTTCCCTGAGGGCTAAGAATTCTGAGGTTGAAGTTCTTTTGTTCCCTTTTGTCTGCTTTTTCCCTTTCATCTTGTTTGTCCCTGATCTCAACGGGGGGGCTTCAGAGAAGGGTTAGAAATTTGGTCCAAGAAATAAACACCAAGAGGATAAGACCCCCTTCGAGTTTGCTCGTTCTGAGTTGAAAAGCCATTATTTCCCTTATCCTGCCCCTCTGTTCTAAATGAGACTTCAAAGCAAAAACCCATCTTTGCCTGGAGCAGCTATTGTATGGGCTGCTGAGTTACACTGGGGACACTCGGGAGCTGCTTGATGGTGAAAAGAAACCTGCCAAGTCTAGAGAACATTTCTGATCTCAAGGCTCTTAAAACTGGAGCTCTAGTTCAGAAACATGTGGTTCCCCTTCCAGCAGGGCTTGTCTCCAAGTCAGAAATCACATGTTGACAGAGGCCATTTCAGATACATGCTTTAGTTTGAATTATTGCAGTCTTGAAAAAGTTCCTGTTTCCTGTAGTGTTTTTATTTTTCTAATCATGATTAGAATTATTCTTAGGTTCTGTCATGACTGTCCTGTATCTTTGGTGGAGAGGGTTTATGGTGAGAGATATTTTCAAGCAATCTGCCGGGTCATGAAACTACACATGTGTACCTCCTGTGCAGGTTTCAAGAATAAAATCCAGTGCCGTGATGCTGTCTGGGTTGAAGACGAGTTAGAGTAGGAATTGATCTGTTCTGAGTCTAGAGAGAAAATCAGGAGCTGCTTATAAACTCCTCAGGGGAAAATGGTGGAAAGAGTGAACGGAACAACCGTTGGAGGGTGAGCTAATGAGAAACTTCCCAGTCTCCAAGCCCCCCTTGCTGGAAGGACGGAACAAGGTCTGCTGGGGGAAGTTGCTCTCTGATTCCAACACCTCAGAACTCTCCTCCTCCGTCTTTAATGACTGCCAGTCCTCCCTTGAGGTTTACCTGCTCCTGATACCCTTGCCCTGGGGTCACCTCTGGGCCCACTGTGGAGCAGGAATGTTGGCTATTTGAACCAGTTACCTAATGGCCCAGTGGCCCCTTTGTCCATTGAAATGAAAAGCTTTATATTTAACCTAGTTTGAGCTGCTCAAGTAGCTGGTGTTATGGAGTCAGTTCACTGCTCGCTCTCTCTCTCCCTCCACCCTCTCCCTCCTCCTTGGTCCCCCTTTGCTCTCATTTGATAGCCACACAAGAGCACAATACAAGGATGTAACTGGTGGGAAAAGATAGCTATTTCCAGACAAGCCAAACATTTTATCCAGGCTGACATCTAACTGAAAGCATTTATTATTACTATTGTTTACTCCATCACCCTGACAATGTAAAATGCTTTCTTGTGAGAAAATCTGGCCCTACACTGATTTATAAATTCCCCTCTGAAGTGTTTTCTGAAGTCATTCCTAAAGTGATAAATAAAAGGGAGAGGAATTTGAGTATATATCTATTTCTAACTCTCTCTCTATATATATGGAGTTTCTCTCTCGCTCTCTCTGGTGGTGGGGAAGGGAAGGGAGAGAGACAGAGAGGGAGAAAAGGGTGTGTTTGTGTGTGAGTGTGTGTATCTACATGTACATGGATGGTGTTTGTTTCAAGATCTAGATTCACACACAGTCATCTCTGTGTCATCTAGTGGAGAAGGAAGATGGGCTTGAGAATCACGTGTGACTTCACATCCCAAGTGCTGCTATTTACTAGCTAGCTGTGTGGCCTTGGGCAAGTTATTTAACTTGCCTGAGCCAATTTCCTCCATAGTAAAATAGAGCTAATCCAATTAATTACTGCCTATGACTATATAAAGCTAATTTATATGAAAAACAGCAAAGCACACATTCCTGATAGCAAGAGAAATGCATTCCATCTGTTCCCAGTCTCTTTACTCAGTCAGCCTGAATAGAAGTGGGTTGAGTATTGAAAGATGATATATTCTAAGCATCTGAACCTTGAATTATTTCAGAGCAATAATTATGCAGCATCTGTGGCAGCATTCTTGTTTGTGACCACTCGGATCAGGGGCATTTTAATCATAGCTCTTGCTAAGAGTTGCTGATCCTTTTGTGTCTGCTACATTCATCTGCTCATTAAATGTCAGTATTTATTGCAATTAATTGGCCAACTATATCATTATTATTTGTATGTGAATTACATTCTTCAGTGAACAAAAGGCCCAATTTTGAAATGCTCAGGAAAAATAGTTTTACACATACAGGTTCATCAATCAGTCTTCATCATTAGTGTCATCGAATAATGCATAAAAGGCATTCAGATTCACAGGTCTCAAATTACTGAGGAAATGAGATCGTCTGTCTTGGCTGCCTCTAGTAGTTAGATCACAGCAGTGGTTCACAAAGTCAGCCTGCAAGTCACAATCTTGAGAAATACTTTAAATTGTGAAATAGACACAGTGGGAAAGTACATAAAAATAGGAATGGATTCTCATAAAATACTGTAAAGAGGCTACTCATGCAATCCCTTTCAGCCCAAGAAAGAAAACGTTAGTTACCAGGACTCTGGAAGCTGCCCATATGTCATTTCTACATCACCACCCCCCCAACTGCCCCTAAAATCACTATCTTGACTTTTATCTCTTCTTTTTTTTTCAAAAAAAGTCTTACCACTCTTGTATGTATCTCTAAACAGTACAATTTCATTTTTTCCTGTTTAAAAATACTTAATGTAAGTTGAATTATTCAGAATGGATTCTTTTGTTGTAACTTCTTATCCTCGGGATGAAGATTTATCCATGTTATTGCATGTTGGTGAAATTTGTTCATTTTCACTAGTGTATAGTGTCCCATTGTATGAATCTAACAAAATCAGTTATATTCTAGATGGCTATTTGGATTGTTTCTAGTTTAGGGCTATTACAGACAATGTTACTATGAACAGTTTTTATGTCTACTAGTGTATATATGTGTGTGTTAGTTGTTCAGTCGTGTCTGACTCTTTGTGAACCCATGGACTGCAGCCTGCCAGGCTCCTCTGTCCGTGGAATTCTCCAGGCAAGAATACTGGAGTTGGTAGCCATTCCCTTCTCCAGGGAATCTTCCCAACCAGGGATCGAACCCGGGTCTCCCACATTGAAGCCACCAAGGAAGTATATATATAACTCTCCCCATTTTCAATTGGGTTGTCTCTCTTTTTCTTACTGACTTGTAGGAGCTCTATGTATGTTCTAAATGCAAATCCTTTGTTAGTCACCTGTGTTGCAAATATCTTCTCCCACTCCGTGGCTTGCCTTTTTGCTCTCTTAATGGCACCTTTCTTTTTTTTTTTTCCCCTGTTAATGGCCTTTAATTTTTAATTTGGTTTTAAAATTTTTATCAAAGTTGTACATGCACATAATTTAAGGAAGAAAGTCATTCTGTGAGGCTTATTAAATAAAGACATTTTTCAATATGAAAGGTCTCTTAATGGCATCTTTCAATACACTAACAAGTTCTTAAATTTAATATGGCAACAATGATCAATCTTTTCATTTACAGTTAGTGTTTTGTGTGTGTGTGTATGTGTTGTTTAGGAAATCTTTTCTCCCCCTTGAGGTCATACAGATATTCTATCTTGTCTCCTAAGAGCTTTATTCTTTGTCTTTCACTTTCATTTTTACAGTCCACATGGTGTTGCTTTTTGTGTATGGTGTGAGAATCAGTCCAACTTCTTTGCCCCCTATGGATAGCCAAGTATCCCAAATAGCATTTATTGAGGATTCTATTTATGTGTGGAAAATCTTCTCTCTGTGTTGAAGTGCCACATTTTAAAAAATCAAGAATCTGGGTCTGAATCTATTTCTGGGTTTTGTATTCTATTCTACGGATCTGTTTGTTCCTGTGCTAGTCTTACTGCTTTTCAATCAGTACTGTTTTATAATAAATTCTCATGTCTGGTAGAGCAAGTTCTCCCACGTTGCTGCTCTTCAAAAGTGTCTTGGCTCTTCTTGGCACTTTGCCTTGCCTTATGAAGTTTAGAAATCAACTTGCCAAATTCCACAAAAACAAACAAACAAACAAGTGAAATAACCCATCGGGGTCTTTCACTGGGACTTAGTTAGGTCTTCTTTTACTTTCAATGAAATGTTTGCAGTTTCTTACAATAGAGGTCTCATAAACTTTTGTTAGATTTATTCCTGGGCACTTGATTTTCTTTTTCATTTTTTTGTTGTCTTTTTAAACAGATATTTATTGGAGCATAGTTGATTTACAATGTTACATTAACTTCAACAGCAAAGTGGATCTATCATACGTATACATATATCCATTTTTAAAAATTCTTTTCCCATATAGGCCATTCTAGAGTATTAAGTAGAGTTCCCTCTGCTATACAGTAGGTCCTTGTATGCTGTGTGCTAAGTCGCTTCAGTCGTGTACGACTCTTTGTGACCCTGTGAACTGTAGCCCGCCAGGCTCCTCTGTCCATGGCATTCTCCAGGCAAGAATACTGGAGTGGGTTGCCACCCCTCCAGGGAATCTTCCTGACCCAGGGATAGAACTCGTATTTCCTCCATCTTCTGCATTGGCAAGTGGGTTCTTTACCACTAGTGCCACCTGGGAAGCCCCCAGTAGGTCCTTATTAGTTATCAATTTTGTATATAGTAGTATGTATATGTCAATCCGAATCTCCCTCCCCACCTTACCCCCAGTAACCATAATTTTGTTTTCTATGTCTGTGACTCTATTTCTGTTTTTTAAATAAGTTCATTTCTACTTTTTTTTTTTAGATTCCACATTTAAGCGATTCCATATTATATTTGTCTTTGTCTGACTTCACTCATGGACACTTGATTTTCAAAAGCAATTGTTAATGTCATCTTTAAAAAAATGTATTCTCTCACTCTTCTTGTTGGTATGTAGAACTACAGTTGTGTGTGTGTGTGTTTGTCTAGCATTTTTGCTAATTATCTCAATTCCTATTCTAATAATCGTTCTAAGATTCTTTTGGATTTTCTAAGTTCATCATCATACCATTTATGAATAACAACAGCTTTGGTTTTTTTTTTCCTTTTCAGTCTTCAGACTTTTTTATCCCTTGCCTTAGTACACTGGTTAGGACCTCCATTAAAGAGTTTTTTTGAAAACAAATTTTACTTTTTGGTCAATTTAGTAATTAAAATTTATTAACTCAGTTAGACACATTAACTACTTTTTAAATACCTTGATAACATTTAAAAAGCAGAAAACAGTAAATATATGAAAAACTTCTTCCCAGGTCCAGACCTTCATTGGCTTGTCAAAAATAACAAATCTCCTGAATTGCAAACTTTGTCAAGTGAGACTTTGCCATGTCTGTGTTTTTAAAGTTCCACTGGGGACTCTGATAATTAGGTTTAGATACCAATGGAGATTTGTCCATGCAGAGGTTAGTAGGATTGTGAAATTCAGTGACTCCCAACTCTGGCTGCACATTAAAACCACCAAGGGAGCTTTAAAAATCCTGATGCCTGGCTCTTACCCTGGACCAACTGATCTGAATCTCTGTAGGTGAGGTCCAGCCTCTTTAGTTTTTAAAAGTTCCCCAGGTGATGGGGGAGGGTGGTCTAGGGAGGAGCAAGAGGGAGGGTTTGCCCAGAGACACAAGGAGACATTTGGGGGTGACAAGTATTTTGATTATCTTGATCTTGAAGATGGTTTCATAGATGTGTTACATGTGTCAACACTTATCAAATTTTACACTTCATGTATGTGCAATTTATTGCATGTCAATAATATATCAAAAAAACTACTTAAAGAAAAAACAATCCACATGATTCTCGAACACAGCAACAGTTGAGAATCATTGTTCTAATACAACAGGCACACGGCTGGGAGGGGAAGTTGGAAAGACTTTCATCTGACAACAGTTGGCTGTGTACTCTTAGATCAGCGACTTCATTCACTCTGGATCTGTTTCATTCTGGCTGGTGGGCTCGATGTTTTCTTAAGTACTTTTCAGCTCTGATGTTTTGATTCTTTTGCTCGCCTGGCTGTGTGGCCCAGACTGCTGGTGCACCTCCTGGCCACACGAGGGGGCTGTGCAGCTTGCAGCCTCTTCCTCTCAACTGAACACTCTAGTGAGGTCAAAATAGGCTGTTCTGGCGTCTTTCCCTTCTTTCTGTCCTCTTGGAGAGTGCGAGCTCCACTTCTGAAGCATCATCTTCAGCTGCCTCCATCCAGTGGTCCTGATGCAGGTGAGACTTTCATTAAGCAAAATAAATCCATGAATCTCTGAATGTACAGAACAGCTTTTTAAAAGAGGCTCAGATTGCTTTGAAAAAAATAGCCAGTTCCTGCAAAGCAATTAAAACAGGATCTAATTAGAGAATGTGTATGTATACACATGTATCTATGTATGTGTCTGTCTATTAATAAGCACAGTAATAATATTACTCTACTGCCCCTGGGAAAATGATCCATCCATGTAAAAAGGCAGTATGTTTGTTACAGGTGCAATTTAGAGATCCTTCAGACTGTGTACACTGTTTAGATGAAAAATAGAATCAAGATTAGCAAATAAACCTAGTCTTTTTCCATTTAATATTATATAAAGTGCTTAAATATGGGAGTGTGTGTATTTATCTCTGTGTCTGTTTATCTATGTGTTTATGTATATTCAGGTGAACAGGTTGGCTAAGTATTTTAGAATGGAATCTAATCAGACACTCTGGGCATTCATCTTCATTTTTCTTGGACCTGACAGGGAAAAAATCTGGATGCTCTGGAAGAGACTGACTAGAACTAATGTTATAAAATGATCTAGCTATGCCCTAAATTTTAATAAATGCATTATTTGATGCATTTAAATCCAGCTCAGAAATAAAAAGCAAATGGTTTTCTAAAGTGTAAGGGATTGTTTTTTTAAAAGGAAAAAGAACCCCCCTCTTACTCCCACACATAGACTTTCTCAAATAGTACTGTAAAAACCTTAACATTCAATAGCTCTGTCTTTTATGTTTGTTCTGATTGCATTTTCTTCCATTTTGATTCCTAAATTTCAGATTATTCTACGAACCAGTCACAACACCCTGTGGGCACACCTTTTGCTTAAAATGCCTTGAAAGATGTCTAGATCACAATGCGAAGTGTCCACTGTGCAAAGACGGTCTTTCCCAGGTAAAACGTTGTTTCTTTCTTGATCAGTTTAGCTTATTTGGAATTGGGTACGAAGACAGTATCCTATTGGATCCCAAGCCACTGCACTGTGCTAGAGCAAAACACCCCCTCAGACCATCAATTTCTCCTGTCTTAGAGCCACCCCTCCTTTCTCCACAAAGTCCTCCAGGGAAATGAGGCAACAGCTAGCTTTTTATGAACTGCTAGCAGTGAGATCAATCTGTGTTGGAAACAAAAGGATCAAAATGATAGTAAACATGAATCAAAATGGTGATAAACATGGATCAAATTGATGATAAACATGGATCTTGGTTCTAATCCTATCATGGCCTCTGATTTACTGGCCTTGGCTCATTCATCTATGAGCTCCAGTGTTCCTTTATCATCAATGTTTATTCCATAGTTTGAAGAGATCACCCCCAGGTCCCCAGGAAAACCTCACAGCCCTACATTATGGTCCTTGTCCCTCTCCTCAACTGCCTCTGTTATTATTAGCAGGTATTTGTCTGCTTGAAAATCTCTGGGGCTTCCAGGTCCTCTAAAATGAATCACAAAAACAGCCTCCTGTGCTTTTCAAGTGGCTTTGCTGTAATTTTCTATAGCACAAGAAGATCCAGCAATCCATCTTGTCACCCCCTCTCTCCCTGCTAGGGGCTTGTTGGCCACATTTTACAATTAGTATTCATGTTCCTTGACCCCTGTCATCCCTGAGGAGAGGCTGGAGATGATGCAAGACTCTCTCTTGGTGAATGTAGATCCAGAGAAGTCACATGTTGAACTTTCCCAGCACCCCACCATTTAAACTAAGGGAAGGAAGTGAGATAATCACCCAGGATAGCCCTGAGGGTGCTGGGCTCGGGGAATGGTCAGTGTCATGTCTGGCCTGGGTAAAGATGGGATTGCTTTCCTGATTGTAGGTGAGAAGCCCATGGCCGTTACACTTAAATAATGCATTCATGTTGTGGGAACATTACAACATTCAGAACAGCAGAAAGAAGGAAAATCTACTGTTGACATTTTAATATGTGCCTTTCCTGGGTTTTTGTTTTAGCATCAGCAGAGGTTCACCTCCTTCTTGGATAGGCTACCTTCTGAGCCATTGCTTTCTCCCAAAGACTGGGCAAGCCTCTGATTTTCTTGCAGCCAGGCAATGGCAGTGGCTAAGAAGGCATCCTGGAAGCAGAGGCTGTGGGGTCCTGGACTTAGGGGCTAGAAGTTATTTCCACCTGTCTCTGGGTATTCACCTGGGGTCACACTTGCACCATTTTCCAGAGAGAGAAATATCTTATTCCGATCATGTTCACTGCGGAATAGATAGACGTTGGCAAAGGAAAAAATGTCTGAAGCCTGCAGTTTTATACTCAGGAGCTCCCCCTGCTGGGTCTGTGTGGGTAGTTTCCATAACCAGCAATTCTCTGCAGATGTTGTCATCCCCATTGTCTGGTTCATGCCGTTAAACACCCACTCCTTACAGCTCCTTGGATATGCACAAACTAGGGGTGTTTGGGATGAGAGTAATACTGACAGTTGAGCCTGAGTTAGATTCTGAAATCAGGGTTTATAATGTAAATTCGGTGATATCTAGATGTTATAATAAAAAAAATAGATAGGTAAATGAAATCACCAGTATTTAGTTTATTTTAAAAATACTTAAGTTAGAGGAGAAAAATAGTTATATAGACTCAAAATATCCAGAAGCCAAGCACTGAGAGTGTGGCAGGGCAGGAAAGGATGAATGATTTTAGAATTGCTTTTTAGTTCCCTGAAACGTTTGTCCACAGACTTCAGCGTATCCCAGGTGGAGAACATTCTGGGAGCTTATAAACACAATAATCAGAAAAAGGAAAGGATTGTCTTCCTTAATTGACAAGAAACATGATCATAATCAATTTCAGTGTTTTAGGAAGGCTGTGGCATTTTAAAAACTTCAATGCAGGTGTTTTTCCTTGTTAAAATATTTTTTTCTAATTACAAAAGTAATTCATTGCATGTGTTTTTTTTTAAGGTAAACTCTAACCTCCAGAGATTATATACATTATGATCATATGAGCTGCCAATGTGTCGGTCCACATTACTCCAGTATGTTGGTCATTGAACTGTTCTACTGATTATATCAGAAGAGCTTTGTATTTCTCTGATGACTGTATAATATCTAACTGCCTTGTTCCCCATGTAGTGCTTGGCATCAAGAAAGTACAGCAAAAACGTCATAATGGAAGAGCTAATAGCTAAATTCCTTCCAGAAGAACTCAAGGAACGAAGGAGACTTTATGAAGAGGAAATGGAAGAACTTTCTAAGTATGCACACTGCTGTTTTCAGTTTCATTCACGCCAGCTCATAGAACTGAAAGTGCACATATCTTCCCCATTTAATGATACCATGCTGATAGCTTGAAATTGGCCACAGTGAGAGTGTTGACACAGTGAAAATTGGCAAATGCAGTAACAAGGACTTCCCCTCCCCACCCCTAGAAAGCCGATTGTTCATTTACCAGCTTACCACTGAAAAAGCGCTAGTAGCTGGGTGTCATGGGCAGGATTAGATTGGAATAAGGGGATTCATTCATTGGATTCATTCAGGGGAACTGAATGAAGTAGAGTTGACCCTTAAACAACATGGATTTGAATTGTGCAGTTCCACTTATATGTGGATTTTTTTCAGTAGTAAATACTGTAGTACTACATGATGCAATGTGTGGTTGGTCAGATCCACAGATGCTGAACCATAGATAAAAATCAATGAAAGTGAAAGCCACTCAGTTGTGTCCAACTCTTTCCGACCCCATGGACTATACAGTCTGTGGCATTCTCCAGGCCAGAATACTGGAGTGGGTAGCCATTCCCTTCTCCAGGGGATCTTCCCAACCCAGGGCTTGAACCCAGGTCTCCTGCATTGTGGGTAGATTCTTTACCAGCTGAGCCACCAGGGAAGCATGGATAAAGAGGACTGGCTCTAAGTCACATGCTGATTTTCAGCTGTGCAGAGGGTCAGTCCCTGTAACCCCCGAGTTGTTCAAGGCTCAGCTGTACTCTGAAGACAGTCTTCAGATACATAAGGAGGTTCTATGAGGTTAAGAACTTTGATATCAGTCAGACCTGGGCTTGTGACACAGTTTTGCCACAAAGTGAGTAGACTTCATGACCTTAGGCAAGTCACTTAATGTCTCTGGGCCTCAGTTTCCTCATCTGTAACTTGGGGATAACAGTAGTTTCTACCTCAAGGACTCATTATGAAGCTCAAATGAGCTAGTGCAGAGTAAGCACTTAGTAAAAGTAATGGTAAGAATGCTTCTGGTTATTATGATTCCTCTTCCATCACAGGTGTTGTGAGAGGTGGCGAGTAGAGGTGAGATGGAAGTAGGGCTCCAAACTCTCTGCCTCAGGTAGCAGAAAAAGCAGGGGAAGTCACTAATTTCTGCCTCTCATACTGCTGCCCTCTTATCTCCCATTCCCAGTGGAATTCTTACAGCGTTCTGAGGGTAAAGCTCCTGAGGGGGCTGTTCTGGTTTTATGCCCACCCCATAGAAAACAGTGTTAAACTGAAACCAGTTTGTTTGCACCTCTCCCTTTGACTAACATGTTTTCCTGGGAAGCCAGAAGTGCAGTCCTTCTTTTCTCATTGACATATTAGATCTACTGCAGGAGTCTTTATCTTTCTTTCTGATATTAAGTTCACCTTGAATCTTTCTGAACCCTCTTCTCACGAATTGTTTAATGTCTTATTAATAAACACTTGAATTTACTGGGGATATTCCTTTAGGGGAATCACATTTAATCCTTTTGAGATTTGGGCAAACAGTCTTATATTTGTTGGTAGGTTTGGGTTTAGATGTCCCTGTGTTGGATTTACTAGACAAACAGAGAACTGTGATCGGGATGAGCTGGCCTGGTTGGTGGTTCCCCATCAGGCTGTGTGTCTGAATCTTCATGGCCACACATTGCGAGGCAGACTTGTAGGTCTTGATTTCAGAGCCACTGCACCAGTGTCTCTGGGAGGGCGAGGTGCAGTGGCCAGGTTGTCTGTGTTTAAGGGCCTCCAGTGACTCCAATGCACAGGAGCACTTGAGCATCACTGGGCTATATTACTCTTGCCTCTCTACTGCTCCCTCCTCCCAGCTGGGCCTGCCATGCACATCCTCTGGGAGCTTTGCAAATGGGAGCTACTCACAGGGATCTTGCAGAGATTTTCCCACCATCCCTCTGGAGAGCTGGGTCCACTTTTACCACGAGTGCCCTTCCCCATACTGCCAGCAAGACACCTGGAGAGATTGTTTGGAGTGGAGAGTATGAAAGAAAGAAAAATATGAGGTATAACTATCATCAACAATGTTAAGGTACTAGAGAACTTCATTACCCAAATTAGAATGTATAGAATGTCCATTTTAATCATAGCCCTTAGGCTAACCTATGCATCAGGTAATGGGACTCAGCCCACAGCATCAGATGTATTTTACTATTTTTTTATGAGCCGTCCACACTTTATGCCTCCTTGTCTTCCTGTGGGGGATCCACATGGTGAAATTCGACCAGCCTTTCTCTGTTCTGCTCCCATGCTGTGAGATCCATGTCATTTGCTCTTCCTGACAGCTTAAATAAGAACGTGCCTATTTTCGTGTGCACCATGGCCTACCCCACGGTTCCTTGTCCCCTGCACATCTTTGAGCCTTGCTACCGTCTGATGATCCGTAGATGCATTGAGACAGGCACACGACAGTTTGGCATGTGCCTTGGAGATCCTGTCAAAGGGTAAGCGAGGAGTTAGGTGCGTCAAGGGAGGTTGGGTAGAAAAGATTTGTGGTTTTACTTCGGGGCTCTTCCAGGTGCATTTGTAAGGATCAGGGTCCCTCTGGCCCCTAGATTTAGCGTGTGAGAGGCTGCCTATTTAAAGGCACCCCAGGATCAACCTTTTGTTAAATGGTTGATACATATTCTAAAACTTGTTTTATAAGAGTGTGGGCCCTGGAATCAAACTGCCTGGGTTCATATTCTGGCTCCAGCCTTGGAGGAAGTTTGACTTCGGGCAAATAACTCAACCTTTCTGTGACTCAGTTTCCTTATCTGTAGGATGGATGCAATAATAGTGCCTACTTCTCTGGTTTGTTGGAAGGATTGGGGAGTTAATAATGCACATAAAGTACTGAGTACAGTACAATAAATGGTAACGGTTACACATTAAGATGAGTTTTCACACAAGCATTGCCTGTGGTGTTATTGCAGCCATAGACCCTGGGACAGACAAGAAGGCAGAAGTCCCTCAAGGCACAACATGGGGGTATAGAGATGGAGCAGGGATATCGGGTCAGGGAAACAGTTTATCAAGAATTTACTTTCTTAACTCCATTCCCTCTAAACAGGTTTGCGGAATATGGCTGCATCCTAGAGATCAGAAATGTTCAGTTCTTTGCTGATGGCCGCTCAGTGGTCGACAGCATAGGCAAGAGGCGCTTCAGGGTCCTCCATCAGGGCCAGCGGGATGGTTACAACACAGCTGACATCGAATACATTGAAGACCAAAAGGTGAGGGTGGCCAGTGCCAAGAATTCTGAGGCCAGGCTCACCATGTAGCTTGGCAGATCAAGATGATTGCAGGAGGATTTCTCGGCACTGATGGGAGCCTGGGGATTTCTTCCCCATCTGCTGCAGCCACATTGAATGCCGCCGGGTTGCAGTTCAATTGTGGAAGAGCAGCGCACAGCCCAGTGTCCAGCCTTCCCCTGCTTAGTTGCTGAGTTGTATCTGTGCATGAGAGGTGCCAAGCCAGATCAACCCTGCCGCCCATTCAGCACTGGAATTGGGTCTCTGCCAGGGATACCAAGATCTGGAGCTGGATCTACATATATATATTTGATTTTTTGATTTATTTATCTTTTACAACTTTTGCTTTTGAGATAATTGTGGATTCACATTAACATTTTTATTTTTAAACATGCAACCTGGCCAAGAGCCCTTCCCGATAATCCATCATCCCATAAGGGAGAAAGAGGACATGTCCAGTTAATCCTGGGTTTTCTGAATTAATGGGTAGAAGAAGAGGTAAATTATCCCATAATCATTGATATTTACATTCACTACATAGTACAAGAGTAACAAACATTTGCTCAATGAATAAATGTATTTGCCTTGGAAGATAGAGTTACACGTTGAGACACAGACACATTCATGTCCCTCTTCCCAGGGAGCATTGGGAAAGCAGATGTCAAAAATGAAAAGGAGAGAGGTGTGAACCAGCACAACCTAGTTGAACAGCACACATCCACTCAGGCCAGTTTGCATCACTAGTTTTCTATATGTCTGGCTGTTTCAGCTCATTTACTCAGCTGAACCTTTCTCCAGTCCACCACCCTCAGCAGTATTTCCACACAGTCCATCATCCTGAAGAGCCTTTCACACATCACACAGCAGACAGCCAGAAGGGTGAGCCTTCCCAGAGGGTGGCAGGATGGATGCTCAAAGAGCCACGTGTCAAAAAGGGTTCTAGGTGTGATGGAGAAGGTACAGAATGCTTCATTCCACTTTGGTACTTTCAGGTTCAAGGAGAGGATTGTGCTGAGCTCATGGGATTACATAGCTGTGTCTATGAGCAAGCGTCATCATGGTTCCATTCCCTCAAATCATCTCTGAAGAACCGGATACTCAATCATTTTGGTCCAATGCCAGAGAAAGATGCTGATCCCCAGGTATATGAAAATGTCTTTTTGTAATCAGTCATTCCCACCAGATAAGAGAGCCTGGGTTTTGTGATTAGATGGGTGTGTGGTTTCCATCCAGCAAATTTAGTGTAGAGGGGGAGATGGATCCAAATTGGTCTCATTTGGCTAGGCAGTGGGCATCATGGTAAAGAACAAAAGGACCCCAAGTCAGACTTGGGGTAACTAAAGCAGTAGGAATTTGAATCTAAGACAGGTTTTGAGCGATTAGTTAGGTGAGAGGATGGGAACACAGGCACCATCAACAGAAGAGTCTTTCATGGGAGTCCAGATGCCCACCGTGGTGATGTGTTAGGGTGACAGGATTCACAAAAGGCCAGGCTTAAAAGAAGGGGATTTAGGGGAGCTGAGACCAAAGGTTGCCATGTCTCAGGGGCTTCAGAACTCTCTTCCACATTGCTCTCTTCCCCATTGCTCAGGGCCAGCCACCTTGCAGGGCTCCAGCTGCAGGACCACAGAAACTTTCCATACCCAGCCCCCTCGAAGCTTAGCCCTGGAGGTCTAGATCCTTGTCATTGTCCTCATTATGGATGAGCAAGTTTCCTGAGAAAGCTGACCCAATCCTTAAATCTACCCTTTTCTCTGCTCGATAAGAGTTCACTAGATTCTACCAGATCAGTCTATTTCCTGGAGGGATAGGTCCATGTGAGAGATCCAGCTGGAGATCAGAAAAAAGCTCCCCAGGAAAGTGGCAGTAGCTGTTTCATGAAGCTTTCCATGCCTAGTGTAAATCAGGGAATACTTTCTCTCTAGGACAAGATTGGAGATGTTGTAGTCAAATATTAATATTTTCACACCATCACCTTCCCACATTCTGAGCTAGCTTCTACAATATCATCCCTATAACTCCCTTGATTCTTGACTTACACTCATTCTTGACTCTGTCACAATAGTAAAATAGACTATGTAGGTTCTGACATCCATGCTAAAAGATTGGTCCTCCTTACCTCTAGCTATGTGACCTTGGCAAGTCCTTTCCCCTTTGTCAGCTTTCCCCTCATCTCTGAAATGAGGGAGGTAGATGAGGAGGTCTCTAAAGTCCCTTCTTCCTCTTGCCTTCTGAGGCTGTAAAACACCAGTCTCTTCCCTAATGGGCTGAAGTGTCTTGTTTTCTCCAGACCACAAATGTGACTCCTTCCCCCTATTCAAAGGCATCATGAATGCTGGAGGGAGAAGGGCAGTTAATACTTCCCAGTGATCAGGCTCCTGGCTCTGGGCCAGTGTGATTCATGACTACGACAGAGCTCAGAGGAAGCTCACGATCAAGTTGAATATTCCCCTTCATCTTCTGGAAAGCATTCTCCCCCAGTCAGGCAGAAGATAGAGATCAGTAATGGTGACAGCATCTTCCATAAGAGAAAACACAGATGCCACAGAGTGATTCATAAGGGCTCAGTGACACAAAGCTGAAATCTTTTCTTATGAGGACTGTTATCATGTTGCTCTGGCAGCAGCAGCAGCAAAAAAAAAAAAAAAAAAATCGCGTCTAGTTTGAGCCATTCAATGCTATAGCCCCAGCGGTCCCATTAATAAGAATGTTCTAAGGCTCCAGAGGGGGTTTCTTAGAAACTGCCACATGTATTAACATCAGCTTAAATATCTTTCTTAATGATCTTGGGAAATACAGTTCAGGATATGTCTATCTAACATTCAGAACTTATCAGAGGAGGGAGGAGATATTACAGACTGCAGCGAGGGACAAAAAGAATCCAAATGAATCTAGAGGCATAGAGAAGCAAAGAGGCAGCAAGGGTTGGAGGAAAATCAGGTGACCAATTTGGAGGCAAATAATCCCATGTGTAGATGGTTTGACCAGAATGTGGTTCTCTGCAGTTCTAAAGCCAGCCTTCCAAAGGATGTGGGCAGAAAGCTCATTTGGGGCTTAGTAGGAAATAAGTTGGGCTTCCCTGGTGGCTCAGTGGTAAGGAATCCGCCCGCAGTGCAGGAGACGTGAGTTTGATCCCTGTGTGGGGAAGAAATGGAAACTGGTGAAGGAAATGGAAACCCACTCCAGTATTCTTGCTTGGAAAATTCCATGGACAGAGGAGTCTGGAGGGCTCAGTCCATGGGGTTGCAAAAGAGTCGGACAGGACTGAGCAACTAAACAACAACCAACGAGAAAATAAGTCACCAGTGTCTACAGTGTGTGCCTGGGACACTGCTGACAAACAGAATTTTGGTGCAGGATTTCTGTGGGGTGGGAAAGCTCTTTATTCAAGGAAACCTGGGGTGGAATATATTTCCATGTGACTGTGTTTTGCAATTGGAATTTTTGCAAAGTTATCCTTTGGGACTGTGAACCATTGGCTCTGGTTTTTGGGGAGAAGCTAACTGTGGCCCATATAGTAACCTGGCATATGTAGATTCTTGCCTTCAGCCAAAAACAGGGAAAAGAAGGGAGGTAAGAGACACACGAAGCCTAAGAAGTCATAAGAACTGAAGGCTCACATGCTTTGCACACCAGGCCAAATGGCCTAAACAGAATCTAAAAGGTCGAAGAGGCTGAGTAGTCATCTCTCGGTCTCCACAGGGGATTGGTTCCAGGAGGCCCCTTCTATAAAGTGACGCAGTGCAATGAGTACAACCAGCCCTCTGCATCTACAGGTTTCACCTCGGCAGATTCAGTCAACCAATTTCAATCCATAATTGGTTGAGCCTGTGGATATGGAGGGCTGACTGTAGTAGCTAGTTCAGCTCATGAAATCACACTGGCTAGAAGGTATGGTGTATTTGTTAAGATATCAATGTGTCTGCTTTAACCACTACCAAAAATAACTGTAGCTTAAACTAGATAGAGAGCAGAAGTCATAGAGATGGAGAGCTAGGGCAGCCCTATTCCATCAGGTCATTCAGACACCCAGGCTCATTCCTGGCAAAGCTGTACCCTCCTGTAACTGCTGCCCTCATCCTCCTGAGTGAAGAAGGTGATCATCACTATGTCCCCGTTCTAGCCAGGGGAAAGGGAGAGAAAGATGAAGGCGAGGGCACATGCCCCTTTCCCAGAGAATGACCCAGAAGTTATACGCATCAATGCCTCTTACATCTCATTAGCCAGGACTTTGTCTTATGGCTGCAAGGGAAACTGAGCAATGTAGCTTCCCCGCCTCGGGCCCAGTGGCTGTATGCCCATCTAAGATAAAGGAACTAGATATTGGGGAGGGGGTGTAATTAGCAGTCTCTGCCACACACAGAAGTAGTTCCACCTGGATTGTTTCCTGGCGGCTTTGGAAGCCTGCAGACTGGGATCGCTTCTGTGGGAATAGGATGAACCCATACCATTTCTCTGTTGCAGATCAACCCAAATGGCCCGGCCTGGTGCTGGTGGACTTTAGCGGTTCTTCCACTGGAAAGCCGCGCTCAGCTCCCGTTCCTAGCAATGACGTCCCTGAAGGATCGGCTGAATGGTATTCGGCGAATCCTGGCCTTTATATCCCGAAACCAGAACTAGTGAGTGGATTGCTGAAAAGGAGCCCCTACGCTCCCCCACCACTGCAGGGGAGTCATCTTGTAAATATATCTAATTGCAATAACATCTTAGAAGGAAGTATCAAACAGAATCACTCTCTTGCTATTGATCAGAGAGAAATTAAGTAGAGAGACCAGAAAAATGTGATCTGTTTGCAACTTTCTTTCTGAAGATGCTTCTTGACATGCTGCACAACTACATGCACAGCAGAGGTTGTTTAAGAGCCCAGAAGAAAAAAAAATTTTTTGATTTTGACATAAAATTTTCTCAAAGTTTAAAGTGGTTTTGCTTTAATTTCTGTCTTTCATAGAGGAATGACTGTGTGGTTGAAATGTGATACCCAGTTCCTAATCATGTTGCTACATTATCTTACTGACTTTTGAGATCTCATTCCAAATGTTTCAGATTTTATATAGCATTGTGTAAAATAATGTTCATAGTTCTTTCTGTTTTAATAATTTATTTTTTGCACTACAATATCTTTTTTTCCCCTACATGTGTGTTTGTAACTATTTAAGTATGCATTACTGAAAAATACTGCTTTATTTATTGCTGTGGTTTACCATGTACCTAGGGGGAAGTAACAATACTAGAAATGTGTGATTTTTGCTTTAACAGTTTGTGCTACATGTGACCCCAGTTCTTGAACCATTTCAGTATTTATCCAATTGATGCTTAAAGGAAGTTCAGCATCATGCTAAGATCATCTATCTTTACAGATTCTATTTTGCTTTCAATTTGAATGCAACAGTAGAAAACACTTACGGGATTTGGCATAGGTTATGGAATAAGCCAGGGTACAATAAAAATAATCCATTTGCTATGGAGGCAGGATGAAGGAATTATTTTTCTGGACTCAAGAGATGAATTAGAAGAGTATATTTTATTACAATCTCTCATAGGCATTTATTTCAGCAATCTAATTATATCTTAATTTCTCTCCAATTCAGTTAGAATGGGAAGGCAGGAGAATATTTAACTCTTCAGAGGTGATGGTTTTCAGTCTGGCACATCACAGCCATGCCCAGCTAGCCTCCATACCCCGCCTCTTGTCAGTCAGGGTTGTGAGGATTGTGGCCTGGCTAGCATGTGTGGAAACACTTGATGAGGATGGTTCATTATTAAAAGTGTAAAGAAACCAGGAAAAAAAGATGTAGAACCCTTTTTAAAAAACCCTCAAACTACCTTTTTGGTTTTTAAGTCTTTTCAAAGGAAGCAGACAGTTAATCATGATCTTCCCTCCTTGTTGTGGTGGGCTAAAGATTTCAACACAGGGGAAGAACAGTGATAAGAGAGTAAGGGTGAGGTCTTGTTTAGCTTGCTTAGTGCAGTTTGATTTCTTCAGTGCTACGACAACATGAAAACAGGAGTGTTATAACAACCAAGTGAAAAGATTAGGGCAGGGAAGAAATGAATCGTGTTATTCCTACCTTCACGTAAATAATCCCCCCATGTGACTCTGGACAGCTGCGATGCGTGACTCACGTGCAGCCCATCCACTCTGTTCCCATGAGAGGTTATTGCCTCAAGTAATCAGCCTGACTTTTTCCATCACCACCTGTGGCTAGAAACAGAAAAGGGAGAATGAGTTGATCCAGGCAACAGAAAAGAGATTCATGTAAGCAGAAACCAAATAACCTCTTCTGCACTTTCTTAACGAACACCGTGTTGTCAGAACATTGTGGTCTCAGGTTGGATGTTTGGAGCCCAACTGGGCCAGTGAAAAATGGAAGTGTAGGAGTGGTTACTGCCCGAGCAAACTCTCCCAGGCTCAGGGAGGAGGAAATGAAAGGCTCCCGCTCCCACTTGGTGCCCAACCAGATGGTCAGAATACAGTCCTAGGACAATAGTTTCCTATTATCTAGCATAAATGCAGCAAAGAACAGGGTCATAAGTGTCTCTGATTGCTAGATGTGTTACTTTTGTGATTTCAGTTTTTCTGAGAACCAGTTTGTCATCTTGCAAATGGTAATGATAAATACTGCATGTAGGGTTGTTATTAATACAACATTAAGTGAGATAATATACATCACTTAGCATAGTGCCTAGCACATAGGAGTCATTCAACAAGTAACTGCTCTGCTTAGATTATTCATAGTTACAGAATATCATCAGGGGCTACATTTCCATAAAACCACGCCTTTACATACAATACCCATTTCCAAACCCTTTACAATTGGTTGAGGGAATCCACACCTCTGATTTTCAGACCATAACTTGATGATTTACATGTAATTCCTTTGGGGGTCAAGTCTGTTTGGGAAAGTGAAAAGACTGGAAAACAAATGAGGGTTAGAAATAAGGGAAAAATCCCATGCCAGCAAATTTTCCCTCTTTCAAGAGGACTAAAAAGTAGCATTGTTTGGAGGTCTAGAATTTCTGATATAATGGAAGCCTTAAATTCTAACTCCATAGAATAACCAACTCATCACTTCTTGCTCTCCAAAATGTATAAAATTCCACATCATAGGATATTTCACATTTATGAGTGAGGACCTAACTGTAGCAATAGATCTTGGCTAGGCAGATATGCACTTGCCTCCCAGTACCCTTGATACACATTTGGATTGTTTTATAGCAAGCTTTTGTTTCAGTAGTGGTGGGAAGCAAGGTGCAAAGCTAAGCCTTGACTTTCTTTGATATGTACTTGAATGGGGTAATCAATTGGACATGACCATTTCACTGCTTGTGAATTGATTTTCCTGCAAAGCTTAGGAATAAAGAGTATACACAATAAAAACATAAAGTTAAATCTAGGCCAGAAGGACAAGACTTCCCCCTTGGTAGTCAGTGCCATTTATTCAGCTAGTTTATTGTGATTGACCTAGCCTTTTCCTAGTAGGTTATTTTCCCTGTGTGTGTGTGTGTGTGTGTGTGTGTATAAAGATGTATATAGGTGTATATAGATGTGCATATATATGTGTGTGTGTACTTGTGTATATATATATATATTAGGTACCAAGCAGACATTATGCCTTTCTGCTTTGTACTGTACTATTATTGCTGCTAGCTAATAACCAGCAAAATGTAGAAAATGAAAAATGATAAAAACTAAATTTCTGTAGATAACTTGGAGAAAAGAGTGCTTGCCCCTTATTTAGTGGGGTAGAGAACTGACTATGTTAACAATTTGCCTTTTCTGAAGGCCGACTGCATCTAGTCCACTGCTGCCATAGCACTCTGGGGCTAGCCAAATCACTGCGCATGTGGCGCTTCCAGTTCTGCTTGTGGAGCCGGACTGGGTTCAGATAGTCCCCTGTGACTGGGTGTTGGAGCGGTGGAGCTCTGAGGCTGGTTCACAGCACCCAGAGGCCTCTCACTGCCAATAGATCACATACTGTTGATGGACTGGAACCCGTTGGGGACTGTGTTTCCCCTCACCAACTCCTTTTCCAAGATGGGAGTGTTATTCAGGGACTCGTTCCTTGAGTTCCCAACATGTTGACTTTGCATCCATTTCCGTTTCCCAAGGCAGAATCATAGCAGAGATGTGCAATTGAGATGCAAATAGAAGGCATCCCGAATAAGAGAAAAGGACAGATTTTCAGCCCATTCTTGGGCATGAGGAATGAGGTTTTGATTTGATCAAAGACAGTTCTGAGAAGCAGCCGGCTGCATGGCCTGCGATTTGTGGCCTTTCCTGAGTGCAAGAAAGAAGGAAAAGGAGCCAAGTCAAATGTATGCATTTGGTTCCCCTTAGAATGATAGCTCCCACTGTTCAACTATTTAATAATCTGGATTATGCACAACCAAGGTGAAATGAAGACATTTCCCCTTACAAATGGGTGTTTTCAAATGCGCTGTTAACCTTGAGAGAGAAGTGCCTGCAATCCCTGTTCCTGATGTCATTTTAAAGCTTTGCTTTGTGACTGTGTAGCCGTTTAAAACCTTGTCGCAGCAAATGTGATTAACAAGTTTACAAAGCAACACTGTAGCTTATGCTTCATTTGAAAAGTTGCTTGACATTTATCTATAGTCAAAGCAATGATAATAAACAACAACAAAATCAAAGGAGAGCAAATAGTTCAGTGTGGCATCATAGGCTTTACCTTAGATAAACTAGTTCCATCATTTTATGCAGTTCTCGGTAATGCCAGGATTAAAATATCAAGCAAGCCATTTAAACAGTGGCAAATGTGTCTTTGTGTTTGTAATTCCCATTGTTTGTTAAGCAGCCATTTTACTCTTGCATTGTAATGACCCAAACGGGGAATAAATATAATGCTTCTTTTTTTCCTTCCCATATTGCTATTCAACTACCTCTATATGCTTGATGTCTCTTTAGGGTCTTCTTTCCTCAAAATATACAAATGAAGTTTCAGCTCATCTATGTTGTAATAACAATGTGATATACACAGTCTCTGTGAAAGCTTGTTGTTCATTTAAAAATGTTTCCTATTGTCTCACTTTGTATCTAACACAACTCTACCCATACTGTAGGGCAAGAATTGCCCAAATAACTTCAGTATCTTTTTGTCAGAAGCTGAATTGAAAGCAATCAGAACATCTATTTTGTTCTTGTTTCTACTGGTTGTAATACATTTGACTGGAAGATGTTTCAAGGAAATAGACCTTATGTATGTGACAGCGAGGCAGGTGTGAACTGATTAAACTAATTGTTTAAAAATGCACCAGAAAGCTTGTTGTTACTAATTATGTTGAAACTTTTTGCTAATAACCTGCCACTACTTTGTCAATCGTTCATATATTGGGTTTGTTTAAAGCAGAGCACAATACCTAGTGTATTTTCTTTGGCATGATAAAATGTTCATGAAAGCAAATTACACATTTTTATTTCGATTCAATGGTGTCTCAACAATAGGCTGAAGCTAAGGCCCGTGGCATGAGCCATTTGACAGGAAAACTGGTAAAACTGGCTAGGACAATGAGTGATGCTGAAAGAGCTGGCACTGGCATGAGCACTTCAGTAACGTCTCAACTCGTTTAGCATACGGGTGCTAGTCTCGTGCCATTGAGGACT